CTTACATACTCAATACTGTGGGCAATCCCCACAGGAGCAATTTGGGGTGAAGTGTCTTGCCCAGGGACACAACGACATGCTGGTCGTTTCTCAATCTCGAGGATACTGGCTTGGTAGTTGCGTACTTCCAAGTCACTTCCTTCAGAAACGAAGCAAGTATGCTTCCAAGCCACGGCTTCGGAAAACGAAGAAGAATGGAACAGGCTAACAAGTGTGCCACTCTCTCTAACGGTTTCAACATAAACTGTACCGAAAATAAATACCTCACGATGTCTATCTAATTATGAACTTGCTTTACTTTCACGGAAAACATTTTTGGTGACAACAAATCTAACAAAGTAACATATTTACCAACACATGTTCTACGCCACTACATACTTACATTTAAAGGTGTGCTGCTGCGTCGGTTCAGCCATTCTCCGCAAGGGTTTTTGAAATTGGTCCGTGCGCAAAGCATTGTGGGGATTTTTAGGACGCGAAGTCTACCCATGTGCAGCCTCGAAATTTCCCCCAAACCAAGGACGCGGCCTCGGTGGAATTCCAAGTATGCTGGAGATTGGAACAGTACTTCGGCGGCACTCGATGACGTAGCATCCTTGAAATATTGGCTTGGAAGCCAGTATCCTCGAGATTGAGAAACGGCCGCTGACTGCAGTGGGGTTTGAACCTGTGACCCGCTGGTCCGAACCCCGACGCACAACCCACTGCGCCACACACCTCCCTATAACGCACGATGTGTTGGAGCGCTAGCCGATAGAAGCGTGAGTGTAACGTAGTGATGTTACTATGTCGCGGAAGTAAACAAAGGAGTCCAATCAAGGCATTTTAGGCAGGGGGGGGGTGTGGGAGAGATCTTTGGGAGTGTTTGCCTTTGCAGACCATTTACATGCAAAAAAAAACAAAAACTATGAAACACACTACAGGAAAAGGGAAGACCCAAAAAGGCATAAGACGGACCCTTTAATTATCAGTTGCTCATGCAAGTTTACTCTTTCTATCTAATGTGAATGAGATGCTGCTCATTTGGTAGAGCTAAAAGTTAGTTTCATTGTCTTGCAAAAAACTTTTTATTTCTATATATGTTGGAGGACCAAAAGCAACAAATGTGCAGACCTGAAGAATTTAATATGGGCTTTTCTGTCCCTGGCGTGCAGCTGGCATAGTTTTTTAGGTTTTGTTGAAATTCCTTTCCCTTCTTTTATCACCTCCCTGCCCTATGCAAGCCCAGATAACTGTTGGAGGTGATTTAGTATCACAAGAGCTGGTGATGAGGAGGAAAAGGAGACGGAGGGGGAGATGTCTGAAGGGGGAGTAATAGATGGACAGGCAGAGATCACCAGGGGTACGGGTGGGCCGCGGAACTGACACCGAATCGTCTGAATCTGGGTTTCTCAAGGACTTCTGTAATTCACAGTTTTATCTCTGCCTGGGGGATCGTGAGGAGACTGATGGAGGAAAGGTGGAGGAAGAGAAGGAAGGGGCTTTGTCTCGGGGAGCGGAAGAAATTGAGAGAACAAGTTGGTATTTTAGGAAGGGGAGATGGATTGGTATCTGATACAGTGCAACTCCAATGACAAATGGCCTCTGTTGTTTTTCAGAAGCACAGAAAGCAGCCCGGGTGACGCTCACTGCTCCTCCGTTATAAAAGTGTGTGGATAGGTGGCCTTTACTGACAATTAATGAGACTGGGGGGATGTCCAACACAGGAGATTAATGTTGGATATTCAAGCAAGCTGTGGATAAATCAAGCCTCACGCTGTCAGTGGTGAAGCTCATAAATTACAGCATTTCAGAGCAATACACGATTGAGTTGAAATACCTCAATTGTTTTACTTGGCAAACCTGTAACTAAAGCACTTGTTTAAGTGGCCAAAGCGACCCATCATCATACTAATTCAATAGTGTTCTTTGTTTTAACTGTGCTGCAGCAAGTGTATTGATTGTAAAACAACAGAGCACTAATTGTCTCTTCAATTTGCAATGCATTTAAGTCTTGAGAGGGTCGGGTCCTTATCAGCTCTGAACCAGGCACCAGGAAATGGCGCTGCATTCTCACACAGAGGCACACTCCCATTGATGCATCCAGATTCAAGCGTGCACACATTTTCGCATACAAATGCCTAGAGCAGGGATGCCCAACCTTTTTTGAATGAGAGCTACTTTTAAAGTTGCCAGTCTGCCGAGATCTACCAGTCCAAATAGAGAGGCGTAGCCATTACTGACAGCCTACTACCAGGTAAATACACACTTCTACTTGTATAAAACTAACCTTTGTACGATTAATACTTCATAAAATACTGCAGATCCTTTATCTTNTACATATTACTTGTTAGTCACTTTTATCCAAAGCAACTTACATACTCAATGTCCCTGAGACACTTCACCCCAAATTGCTCCTGTGGGGATTGCCCACAGTATTGAGTATGTAAGTTGCTTTGGATAAAAGTGACTAACAAGTAATATGTAATGTATGTATAGGCTAAGGGGCGGGACATCTCTTGACAAATCACAACAGAGCGGGCAGGCAGTATTGGAAAAATAAAGACCTTTTTGAACATTAGAGCATGGAGACACACAATACAAAGAGCAACCTGAACATGGGAATAGTAAGGCCCCTTTATTATCAATTTCAGGAATTTGAAGCAAAACTCTTTTGAATGTTTAAGAGAAGCTACTGTTTTTACAGAAGTGCATTGACACCTCTAAAACAAGTGGAGGCAATCAAGTTGGTGCAGGGCCTCCAAAGTATGGATCCATGTTTTTTTACAAGTATGTTCATTGATAAAGACATCAGTGGTGATCAGTTTACAAGTCACTGATGTTTTGCTTTAACACAATTTATTTCAGGAGTTTATTTTCCAGCACAAGAATCAATACAAACTCTGATTTCTCATCCAAGAACACATACAGCCTCTATATGTAATGGGTTTCTAGCCAAAAGTGAACTAGTGGTGCTTGGTCTAAATAATCCATTACAGAGACAAGAGGGGAAGGAAGGTGGCTGAGTCAAAAACACAGAAAGAAGGACAATTAAGACTCAGAACCAATACTCTCTTCCTTCCTGCTTTGACCCGCTGGGCTTACACTTGTTCTTCTTCCTCTGCTGTAGTTTGATGGACAAGCCTCAGCAATTATATAAAGGTGTAGTGATGTGTCATCTGTCTTTCCTGGGGGACTGATGTCAACCCCACTCTCATATGAGACGCTGTTTGCCTGACAAATGGCCTAGGGGTGTGCCAGCCGGAGCAGATGAGGGGCAGAGGGAGGGACTCGGGCCATTTTGATATTAAGATGATGGAGACGCGGTTTCGTCTTTCCACTGAAGTGCCCGGAGCCAGATTGCTTCTTTAGAGAAATGATTTGAGCTCAATATTCCTCTACAGGAGACAGGAAGGTAACAGAACTGAACAGAATGAGAACAAAACACACACAGGTGCTGCTGTTCGCACAGAAGTGATTGATGAGATGCTGGATCAGGATTTTCTTTGGCTGAATTACTCCTGAACTTACAGTATAGCAGCTCTTTGCAATTCTATAGGTATTTGCCTTTGAGCTCGGTCTATTTCACCGAAGGCCTAGCTGGTAACTGTGTGTGTGTGTGTGTGTGCGTGCGTGCGTGCGTGCGTGTGCGTGCAATCTCTATTTATCCAGGGAAGGTTTTCTCAGCACTTGCGGCTCCTCTTGCGGTAACACTTCTTCACATCTCCAAAGCCGGTTACTGAGGCGGTTTTTAGAACAATTAAAGTCATAAACTGTTTCGACTAAACTGTTAAGGGAAAACACACCTGATCAATTTTTCCAAAAATGTTGATGTTAGTTTCTATGGGGGAAAAAAAGAGCATTGTACTTTTCCATTTGTGCCACCTGGGTATCACAGTTTTTATTGCAATCTCAAGCGACAATTTTCCAAAATGCAAATGCTTTCAAAATGTGACATTACTGTCACTCTGGGGCCGGCCTGAAGCCTGTAATGTTTTATTGGCTGGAACTGGTTGACAAAGCCAGCCTGATTTTAAAGCGTGTGATGGAAAAAGTCATTAGGATTAAAAGGCCCAATCAGATGCTAATCAGCTGATCTTGTGGGACAGAATGGAGGCTTGTTTGCCTGTCACAGTTGGAGCTAGACAAATAAGACAGGAAGGACAAGGAAAATTGATCCAAAAATGCACATACTGTACACACACACACACACACACACACACACACACACACACACCCGCACTCGACACAAACAGCATAAGAGGGCAGGTGTACTAGATGCCCCGCCATGCCTGACTGACTAGCTGACTGGCAAGGTCACACAGATTTTGGATGAGTATGCTGGGCATCACTGAACCCACCACTGACAGGGGAAGGATGCACGTGCACACACACACACACAAACACACAAGGCTGTCGGGTTCTCTCCCTCTCTCTTCCCAATACACACACAGTCACTTTAGGCACAAACTAGGAAACACACACAAATGCACAAGGGCGAAGAAGCCTCCATGATTAAATTGGTTTATTTAAGAGGGGGAACGCGGGGTTGGCAGTCGGGGAGCAAAGGCAGATAGGGGGTAAATACATTTAAATGCAATTGTATGTTTAAGCTTACATAAGGAATGGGTTGGGGGGGGGGAGCAACCACTGAACGCAAGTTTTTAAACATAGAAGCAGGATAACAGAGGGAGACGAACAAATAGAAAAGCACCAAGAGGAAGCGATGATAAGAAAAATGGCAATGAAATTAGTAATTTAACACAAAAGCTGCATGTATCCAAATGTATAGGATCCATGTATACATACTGTATGCTACACACTCATTATTACAGTCTCATGTAGTACACACAAGTTCACAAACAAAGTAACAGTGAGAGACAAGCCTGTGGTTAAGACTAGAGCAGTTCCCAACTGCCTCTTTGACAGGAAGCTAAACCGCATTAGCAGAAACAATGGAGCACTCAATCTCCCCAGCGTTCCCTGGAGAGGTAGCGGGGTGAGAGGAAGGAGATTTAGCCTAATATACGTGGGGAGGCAGGGGGCTTTGGCATGACCCGGTTTCCAACGCGTCTCTCTGTCAGCTGGTAATTGAGGAATAGCAAGGTATAGGCCGGAGCCTGAGTCAGTGGATAAGTAATGATCTTCTTGGGTCATTGACCCCCGTCCATTATAGTTAATCTAATCTGAGAAATAAATAATGAAATTCACCTGTGAGGCGATCCCAGAGAGGATCAGCACTCGTGCCAATGTGTCAGCACTCATTCTAAGAAGTGTCTGAAAGGCAGGAAACGGCACATAATTCGCACGGACCGGCCACAGCTGCTGTCAGAGCCTCAATGAGCACGAATCTGTCTGTCAGCTTAAATGTCTGTCTTCAAAGTAGTATTGATTTTTTGTATTACCGCTTTGGGCCCAAAGAATAAACGAGCAAATAAACAAAGGATTATCATAAGTTGATTGGGGATCTTTTCGTCAAACATGACCTATTGACACATGTGGCAGCGACGCAGTGACGTTGGCAGATGTTTGGTTAATGATTACAGTCTGATATTCGACTACCTTAAATTTAAGCTCCGTTTTGGTCTCTTTTAAATACTGAGGGAAATAACTGGGTTCTTAGATAATAAATTGTGTTAAAGCCTCAAGTGTGCCAGTTGTTTGGTGCTGGGAGAGTAGTGTACAGAGGCTTAATCTCGCTGTGACTGAAAATAGGATTGATGAGGGCGGTGAGAGAGAACCAAACAGTAAAGTTGCGGCCCATAAAACCAAAGCAATGAGCCGAAAGACGCTGAAACACTCCGTATGGCTGATGGAAACTGCAGAGCTGAATGATTATTCTCCTCATCATCAGTTTTCACATGACATAACCACTTGACCCCGTGTAATATGAAATATTCATTAGTATGACTATTAGGAGTTCAAACATTTAAGGCGAGAGTCAAATGTTTATTTGCTTTCTGAGATGAGATGTATACATTAACTAAGGAGCTGGAGCGTGTGAAGTCTGGCTTAGCGTTACAAAATGCAAAGGAAGCAGCTAGCTTAACTGCCTTTTAAAACACATGCAAGTGTTTCATGTACTTTATTTAGCATCCTTCCAGACAATAGATACGTACATTGAGGAACAAATTATGTTCTGGTTCGATTTCTTGGCGAATCACAGATGTTTTCCCAACTGCACAACCTCTCAAAAGTTTTTTGTCACACTCATGTTGCCAGGTTTGGTATTATCATGCTTTTACAGAGACAAAAACTTGTGTTCACCAAATCTGGCAAAGAGTGCTAGAGCCAGAAATGGCACACAAAAGGACAAACGTACTAAAATCGGCCAAAAAAGGGTTGTGTTTTTAAGCTGAGAAACATGTTATTACGCTGAAGGAAATACAAACTGATATAACGAATACTGACAGAAAAAGCACAGACACATAACTAACTAATTGCACACTGCTCGTTGTACGACACACTAGGGCTGCTCAATTAATCGTATTTTAATCGCAATTACGATTATGAAAACAACGTAATCGAAATAAAACGATTAC